ACACGGGAGCAGCAGCAGCGTATACTGTCTCTGCTGCAGCAGCCCGAAACCCTAAAAAAAAATAAACCTCTCCTTCTTTCTCTGCTTAGTTTATTAAAATCTTTTGAGGGTACAGCCCTCATTGAGGCCCTCAGCCCCCGCGATCATCTCCTCATCATCTTAGGTTTAAAAAGGGTACTATGGGGCCCCCAGGAGGGGCCCCTAGGGGGGGGGGCCCCCCAGGGGGGCCCCCAGGGGGGCCCCCATGGGGGCCCCCTAGAAGGGGAAAGTGAGGGGTGGAGACAGTCAACAGAGAATGCAGGCGAAGGAGATGCTGCTGCTGCTGCAGCAGCAGCAGCAGGAGCAGGAGAAGCAGCAGCAGCAGCAGCAGCAGCAGCAGCAGCAGCAGCAGCAGCAGAAGATGATGAGGAGTTTGGTGGTTTAGGTATTTCTTTGTTTGCTCGTGTCTGCGATGCTTTTGCTGCTGCATTAGATACCTTTCAGGGTCGGTTTGTGTCTCCTCACTATCTTGCTGCTTCTTCTCGTTCTTCTTACCTGCAGCTGCAGCAGCAACTCAGCAGCAGCAGCAGCAGCAGCAGCAGCAGCGAGAGCAGCAGCGACAGCAGCAGTGAGAGACGAAGAGGTATTCCGCAGAAGGCTGATGTGGGTTTGCTGCTGCAGCAAGTAAAGGAGGGGCTGTGGCAGCAGCTGCTGCTGCTGCTGCAGCAGCGGTATAATAGAGGTTATCGTGCTGCTGCAGCAACCAGCAGCAACACGCGGCGTTTGCTGCTGTCTGCTGTTGTGCGTCTGGTGGAGTCTTCGCGTTTTCTATGGGAGGATGAGGAAGAGCAGCAGCAGCAGCAGCAGCAGCAGCAGCAGCAGTTGCTGCTGCACACTGCAGCAGCAGTAGCAGCAGCAGAAGGCGCAGGAGATGAAAGAGCATTGCTGCAGCAACTGCAGCAGCAGCAGCAGCAGCAGCAGCAGTCTTTGTCTTTGTGTCTGCAGCAGATGATGTTAAAAATACAAAGACAGGAGACATACTCTGTGCTGCTGCCGCGTGTGCTGCTGCTGTTTGCTTCTGGTCGTTTGATTCATACTTTGCTGCTGCAGCAGCAGCTGCTGCTGCTGCAGCAATGGAGACAGATAGATGCAGCAACACAAATAGGCTGGGACCCTGTCTTTCTCTGTCTCCTTAAGAGAGGATGTAAATATGGGTGGTGTGTGGGGTCACCTCTCTGCTGCTTGCTGCGGCCGTTGCTGCCGCTGCTGCTGCAGCTAGCGATGAAGACATTCGACTGCAGCAGCAGAACTGCTGCTGCAGCACAGCAGCAAATGCGAAACACTGCTGCACCTGTTGCTGCTGAACTGTCTCCTTTGCTGCTGCGGAGACTGGAGACACCTAAACTTATCGCCAAAATACTCGTGCTGCTGCTTGAACCCAGCAGCAGCAGCAGCAGCAGCAGCAGCAGCAGCAGCAGCAGCAGCAGCAAATTGGATTTATCAGAAGCAGAAGCACTTGCAAAAGCTGCTGCAGAAGCTGCAGCAAAAGTAGAAAGAGCAACAACAACAACAGCAGCAGCAGCAGCAACAGCAACAGCAGCAGCAGCAGAATCACCAGACACACCGTCTCCCGCATCATCAGCAGCAGCACCAACCCCACCACCAGCACCAACACCAGCAGCAGCAGCAGCAGCAGCAGCAGCAGGAGCAGCAGGAGAGGAGACAGCATTTGAGCTGCTGGAGGTGTTAATAAAAACTATATCTCCGTGGGTGCACCCACAAACGGAGACACATAGAGGGACAGTACACATAGCGAGTTTTATTGTCTCCTTTATTTTTTCATTTATAAAAAGAGTACAAAGAGAGAGACTAGGAGACAGCATCACTGCAGCAGGATGCGGCAAGCATGTCAACGGCTGCTGCGCCCTGCTGCAGCAGCAGCAGCAGCAGCAGCTGCAGCAGCAGCAGCAGCAGCAGCAGCAGCAGCAGCAGAGAGAGGTGCGTTGCTGCTGCAACGCTAAACCAGGAGAAATAAAAAGCAACAGATTGACGAAAGCTGATGATGATAAAGTTGTTAAGCTTTTCTTGCCAGTTGTTATGGAGGTATAAACCCTAAACCCTAAACCCTAAACCCTAAACCCTAAACCCTAAANACCCTAAACCCTAAAAATTCTAAACCCTAAATACTCTAAACCCTTAAAACCCTACAAACCCTAAACCCTAAACTTCTATTTGGATAGAGGCAACAGGGGAGCTTCGCGTTTTTCTCTAAACTAAACCCTAAACCCTAAACCCTAAACCCTAATACAGATGTTAATTGAATTCATTAAGGTTTTATGTTTCAGGGTTTAGGGTTTAGGGTTTAGGGTTTAGGGTTTAGGGTTTGTGTTATGAGGGTATGAATTATCCTTGTCTGCCTCTCCCTCGCTCCTCCTCCTCCTCCCCCCACCGCCTAAACCCTAAACCCTAAACCCTAAACCCTAGACCCTAAACCCTTTTTTTTTTTGTATTTTTTTGTGTG